CATAAATATTTTTTTTTTTTTTTAAAAGTATGCATTAACATCATATATGTGTTATCTTATCAAATCATATCTATGATTTTTTTTTTTTTTTGGCATTTCTCTTATGAAATATATTTCAACAATTTAAGGTTTATTTAGGGTTAAGGTTTATTTTTAACAGTATAAAGCAATAATAAATTCTAAAATACATGCTATATTACCTTAATTTTAAATAAATTTTAAAACATTACCTTAATTTTAAAGCATTTGCCTTAATTTTAAATAAATTTCGAAACATTACTTTAATTTTAAATAAATTTTAAAGCATTATCTTTAATTCCAAATAAATTTTAGAACATTACTATAATTTTAAATAGATTTTATTTAAGCTATATTACCTTAATTTTGTACAGATTTTAAAGCATTATTTTAATTTTAAATAAATTTTAAAACATTACTTTAATTTTAAATAAATTTTATTCAAAATTACCTTAATTTTAAAAAATTTTTCCAATGCTTATAAAGTGGTGAAAAGAGAAAATCATTTAATTTGCTATAATCAATCATTTCTTTTTCGAATTTTGTTTCGTGTTTTGATATTTGTGAAGTTCTTAGTGTTGTTGTTGTTGTTGTTGTTATTGTTGTTGTTGTTGTTGTTGTTGTTGTCGCTATATTATCATCCGAAAAATAATCAAAATCATATAATAATGCTTCCCACCAATATGTTTTATAATCTCGTAACCAAAGAAGTGTAAATTCTTTTCCTGAAATATTACAAATATATGATTTTTTTTTTTTACAAGAATAAAGCAAAAAACAAAAAAAAAAAAGGAAATTTACCTCGACATTTTTCCAATGTTTCAAAATCATTAACCATCGCATCAAATCGTTTAATGATATGTTCATTTCGTATATCCAATGGACTATTAATTAAAATCGTTACTGGATAATATTCCCTCCAAACTGCAATCTAATCAAACCATGTTTGAGCTAATGAAAGTAATTTATTGTAATTAATTATGTTAATTGTGTTAATCTATTAAATGAAATAATATTTAATATTTGTTATTGTAATTATTGGATTATTCATTGTTGTATTAATCAATTTGCCAGAATATAGGCTTAAAATTATTCAAATATGAGTAGTGAAAAAAAAAATTAAAGAAATTGATAAGAAGAAAATAGAACTAAAGATACAAAATTAATCCATTCAATCATTTTGTCATGATCAGAAAAAAAAAAAAGATCGTTGACATCTATCATTTCTAATATTACTTATAGAATTATTTTAAAAATGAAAAATTCAATGTTGTTAAAATTTCATTAACTATTCAAAAAAAAAACTAAACTATGACATCTATCTCAAATAATTCGATACTTTTTAATAATTACATTAAATATTTTCCATTCAATCATTTCATTTAGTTTGTTCACTTAAAAAAAAACTTTATTAAAATAGGAATTATTTACAATAAAAGAGGGAGTACGATAGATATAGGAAGGTACCTGTAGTTGTGATCATAGCATTTGCTTCTTGTAAAGGTGAATTTTTTGGTAGCAATTTTTCAACATCCAAACGTGTTTCAATATTCATTGCACCAATGATACCAAAGAACCAATAGATTAGAATACCAGTGAAAGCTAACACACCGAATAGTTTTGATGTTATCAAACGACAGTAACATTTCAATGTAGACTTTAATCCAATGATAATCTGTTAATATCATTTGATAAATGCTATCTGATATTATGATATTCATATACATTCAATTTTTTAACATCATACAAAAATGCTGTAGATTTTTTTTTTCGAACAATGTTAAATTTATGATAATTTTGGGAAATTATTTCTTATCAATTATCTAATCACTATGATAAATGGACGATTAAATTAGGGTTAAACCTATATTTGAGTTAAAAAAAAAAAACAAATAATTTTTAATTATTACACCATTAATTCATAACTGTTTTAACAAAACATTTGGCTTTAAATTTAACAATATTTAAAATTTACATTCTTCTTTTAAATCTACGAATTATTTTGCAAATTTTATACATTTGTTAATCCGGAAAATATCTTCATTTTCATTGCAGCAAAGTTTCCGGATGATTTTACATTCCGATTTTACATAGTTGATTTTACTACTAACATATGCGGAATAACGGATATATGATAGAATTTTAGAAAATTCCCGCTTAATTTATTCGTTAAGTAAACCATCCAATGATATATTTCTGATCATAATTGAACAATTTAAATTCAAAAAAAAAAATTTTACTTTTTTAAAATTTAAGAAACGATTTAAACAAGAAAAGTTTTTTTTTTTTTTTTAGTCTTTACAACGTATCACCATAACATATCTCCCCTCTGTCGATAAGATGTGAAGTTAAATTTTATCAAAAGATTATATTTTTA